TAGTGGTATTTTAGGATCTCCATTAATGTCTCATCCACTATAATGCATGGAATTTATCAATAATTCTCGTACTGAGTTTTTTCTATGATTTTACAATGCTGAAAACTAAAAATTTCAGAAAATTTACCCTAGTTGTGGAGGTTCTGGAACACCGCAACCAAGGAATCCCTTTCTGCACCCAACGCCACAATCGGCATTGATTAATCACTTTTATTCCTTCCCTTACAGCCATTCACGAGTACCTTGATTTATCTGTAGACATAAGTCTTCAGGATCACAGTTCTGATAAGTGCCTTGTTTGTTGTGACAAAATCAATTCCATGAATAGTCCTAAGAAAGAAACCAAAGTCAAAAGTGAACCAGGATTAAGTGGTCCATCTAGTTCGAATAGTTCAAGTGATCTCTTTGGAAAAATTGGGTGAGTTGGTTTCAATTTGTATGTTAAAATTGCCTCCTACGTATGCAGGTTGGGTCAGTCTTCAAACTGGCAACTCGTCTGTTATGTAACGCTTAGTGCAGTTTTTAGTCAGTTTTCCTCATCAACAGCTTCTTAACTGATGTAGAACGTAACACTTCTTATTAATTTTCATTTCTATTATTGCCAACCTTCGTTGAATAGAGGATTTCTCAAAATGTCGAACGTAGCATGGATGGATCTGCGTTGCAAACAAAAGTCAAAGAAGACCAGTGAGTAGGTATTTTGCAGGTCACATTGTTCGAAAACCATGTTTAGCGCATGAACAATTCCTAATACACAACTCACAGACTCCAAATCAGGCATTTTCTTTACTTAACACATTTGCAGCCTTTCTTTCAGTTGCTGACAAACAAGTTTGCTAAGTAAGACACGTGTGAAGACTTCTAAAGTAAATAAACAATTAGTTTTGCAAAATATTACAAATCTCCCGTACATATTATTGTAATAATTTCCAAAAATCCGTTTTTGTATTATCTTTTAAAGAAAGAGAAAACAAATGGCAGTTGTGAGATCGTTTGCTCATTGCATTGTCCACCCATCTGATTGGCTGTTTCAAATTTTAATTCGCTGCCTTTTTTTTTCGCTTACCCAACTAATTTCCTTTTGTTTTCTTTCCAGTGCTGCAATGAAACAAGCTTCCTCTGAAATGAAAGGCAAACTCTTAGACTACATAGTCAATCCAACAGGAGAATCTAAGAGCGAAAATAGTGAAAAGAGTTTTTCCGGACCAAACAAGCATGGGAAACCGTATCGAAATTTGGCTCCTGTTTTTAGCATCGATGATGAAGATGACCCTACTGGTAAGTAGCTACATTCCTGATCGTTCAGGGACGCAGAATTGTCCCTATTGAGCTTATAAATTGGAAATTATTGTCACAAAATAAGGTGGTTGAGAGTGGATTTTGGTTTAAAACTGGAATGGTAACTAGAGTTTTAGTTCTTTTTGCATGCAGGAAGAAGGTAGCTTGTTTTGTCACCACCAGCCGGATTATTGAAACAATGTTGGCATGACATGACAAGACATAGCCCTATCTTAGGCATGCAATATACAGCATTTTGATGTCTTATTGTGCTGCCATAAACTTTCAATAATTGGCCCGTGGCTTTTCCAGGTGATCACTCTGTCCTATCAAGCAGGAATTTGAATTTCTATTTTTAGCCATCAAATAATATTGAAAATGTCAGCAAATAATCTTTGAAATGTAGGTTGTTTGAGCAGAGCTTTGTAGAAAATTTGAACTGATCGGACCATTTAATAACTAGGATAAGTAGATTGCATTTAGCAGAAGGGAACCAATTTGATTACAGTGTTTTCCTTTGAAAGGAACACATCTTTGGTAGGAAAACAAAAACGATTTCCAAGGGATTTTATTTATATGAAGATATGAAGAAGTTTTTCACACCTTGGTAATCAAGTTGGTGCCCATCTGATAAATTAGATCCACTTATCTCCATCTAAGTTGTAATTTTTCATGTTATTTGACTGTTATAAAATTGTTTAAAAAATTATTATTCACAATTGTTTTAATTGAACGAAGACTAAATTTTTTTGTATTTTTTGTCTGAATGAATATGATTAATGGTCAAGTAAGCCAATTTCTTTATTACCCCATTTGAAAGTTTTAAGCATGCCTGATTCTTCGTTTTTGTCAACAGACGGAGGAAGCATCGACTTGGAACAGACTCAGGATTACGTATCTTTGACGGAGTGGAAGAGAAAACCAGATGTAATAGCTTACTACAGATGTAGGTCACTGAAACCAAATGAAAGTCAAAAAAAATATGTTGATATGTATGGCTGGTAAGTTCTAATTCTTTCAAGTGGAACCATATTATTGGCAATTTTTTTTTCTTTCTCCAACATGAATACAGACAGGGCCATATTTGTCATCAGGCTACATAGGTAGCCTAAGGGCACAACCCTTTGAGGGATGCAACATTTTTGAGAATGTCAAGAAAATTTCAAAATAATTTTACTGAAAGCACATATTTTTTTTTATTTGAACTAGGTAGGACTATATTTTTCATTTTTGTCTGATTGCATATGAATTTGGGTCATGGGTGTATTAGGGTGCGTCAAAAAAAATGAAAGTCTGAAATGTTCCGCTCCCCAGGCGGCAATCGATGACGTTTGGTAAAAAAACATGTTTGCCAAAATTTGGGCCAGTTTCAATCATTTTAAATGGTGCCAAAGGTCAATTTTGTGATGAAATTATGATATTTTGGTTTAGACCTCGATTTCGTACAAAAAACTCGATTTTACGCTAAAACCGTGCGTTTACGAGAAAAATGTCAAAGAACTCGACTTGTAGAGGATGAAATTTTACACTAGGAGGACGTCTTTGTAACCGATAAAAATCAAATTGAACTAGAAAAACTCAACTCGGTATTTATTTTTTTGGTCCTCAGAATTTCCGAGGTCTTACTAACAAGGGGAGTCTACGAAGTGACATCCTGGGATTGGGTTCATTTTGCTTGTAC